AGGTGACGTAGGATAGGCCGGGACTGATAGCGTGATCGTAAGGTGACGTAGGATAGGCCGGGACTGATAGCGTGATCGTAAGGTGACGTAGGATAGGCCGGGACTGATAGCGTGATCGTAAGGTGAAGTAGGACAGGCCGGGACTGATAGCGTGATCGTAAGGTGACGTAGGATAGGCCGGGACTGATAGCGTGATCGTAAGGTGACGTAGGACAGGCCGGGACTGATAGTGTGATTGTTAAATAACAGTGGGTAATGCTGAACCTGCTTTAGGGCTGTATGCTGTTCTCTGACTTGGGTGGTGGGAAGGATTGTGTTTCAGATATGAACCATCAGAGAGCAGTTGTTCCCTTTTGGATAAGTGGGGGTTGATTGTGTATGATTATCTGTTCCTCTGTAATTTCTGTTGTGCTCTGCTGTGTGAGTGTGAATGAACATGCCCACTAGTCTCACCCAGTGCCACGTACGGTTCCCTTTGTCTGGCAGGCTGGGGGCATCGCGGGCATGTGCGTAGACCTCACCCTCTTCCCGCTGGACACCATCAAGACCCGGCTTCAGAGCCCGCAGGGCTTTGCCAGGGCGGGAGGTTTGCGTGGCATCTACGCCGGGGTGCCCTCAGCCGCGGTTGGATCTTTCCCCAACGGTGAGTCCTCGTACCCACGCGAGCGTTAGCCTTTATAGAGCAAGACGAGGAGGAAAGCTTGCAGTCGTATTATGGATAGATCCTAAGACAGTGTGCTATGCCCTGTCCTAGATTAGCACTGTCAGTGACCTGAATGAAATTATTATGATGTTCTGTTAAATTTGGATACTTTTGTAATTCTGTTATAACAAAGCAGATTATCGTATCTCATGGTGGCTGTGAATCTATGCTCCGGTGTCCTGTCCCGAGCCCGCAGGCGGGGCGCCCTGAATTTGATGGATTCCTCGGCCTGTTTTAAGCCCCCGACAAAGTTATTAATGCCTTCGCTTTGACTAATTGGTCCTGAGTGGTTTGGTTCTGCTTGGTTTTCAGCCTCTGCGTTCTTCGTCACCTACGAAGCCACCAAATCCCTGCTTGGGGCATGTGGGCCCCCACATGCAGCGGCCGCCACACACATGCTAGCTGCATCCTTGGGAGAAATCGTACGTCCAGCTGCCCCTCCCTCTCTCTGTCTCTCTCTGCCCCCCCCCACATGCTAGCTGCATCCTTGGGAGAAATCGTACGTCCCGCCGCCCCTCCCTC